GCCACCTCTGACATTTCAAGAATGAAGTAAGACAATGACTGAGGCATAGCTTGAAAGATTTCGGACGTTAGAACTTCTTTTTTTCCTGTAAGTATATCAAGATCCTCTTTTGCTAGATCATAAATTTTGCACATTTCTTCACTTTTACGGAAATCTAGAACCATCTTCTACATTTTATCCTCCATAGTACTACAACTTTTACATTCCTCATATTTTTCTCAAGGGAACGCTGTGCGCTCCTTGACTCATCACGACCATTAAATCATCGAAACGACGGATAGCTAGACCCAATCTTATAAGAATGTCAGAACCCAAAGATGCAGTGGCGTTCCTTTGCAAATACGAACCCAAACAACTTGAAAGCACATCATTCTGATAGCCCCTTACCATCAGCAATCTACTTTTTCACTATCCAGTTCTTTCATTATCTTTCCTACGTCGGGTATTGCTTACATACTTTTTACAACTTTATTGCAATTCTTATCACGACAGCTATTCGCGTAGAGAAACCACGAGGCAGAAGATGTTTCACAAGATTTATCTCTTTTTCATGCACTCCTTAGACTCTGTTCTTCTTCTTCAATCTTCACATGACAGCACTACAAAATCTACTTGTATTGTCGACGATCTTTTCCTTCAGCGTTCCACCTGGCTGGCACGAGAAACGAATACGAAAGCTCCATGGTTAAATAACAATGATAATGGGGAACGAGTTCTTCAATTCTGGAAGGTGAACCTAACCTGTGCTATGAATAGAAATTCGGAGTAATGACGATAAACCGTTTATGCGATGGCAGGATCGATGTGAGTAGATGTAAAATTTGCCATCTCTCTGGCAATAATCGATATAAATACTGATCATCCAGGATGCTTGCCACAATAGATGAGACAGCAGGACGTGTTTTTCTCATACCATCATAGAGCCGCCGCTTCCTTCCTGCGGCGTAAACAAACACAAGTGCCATCCAAAACATGCGATTACTGTCGGCAACTACAGTGCTCCAGTGTGGCAGGAAAGTCAATTTGCCCGGACCTTCTTGAGCAGTTCTTCGTCCAAGTGAAAAGAATAGCGATGAAATGCATCGTCTGCCACTTCTCTTGCCAAGCGAAAGTTCCCCTTCGTAGTCATCCGTGGATTACAAAAAGTGATCGAAAATCTTTCCCCTTTTTCCACCGGCTCCACTGTATGAGTTTTAGACCCATCGTAAACAATGGCCTTACCTTTAATAAGATCCTTGTATCGTTTCGCGCATCTTGTTTCGATTTTCTCCGTCTCTCCAAACGTCCAATCAATTAAGAAGTCTCCTCCAACAACTTCTTCGTCTCCCAGTACGAAGGTTACGGACATACCCTTGTTGACGTCCTTGTGTGGCGCGCACGACGCGCCAGGGCCATACCTGTAGGGAGATTATGCGCCAAAGTTTATGCAACAAAAGTGTGCCGCACTTAGACAAAAACCAGAACGAAAAAGCTAAGAAAGGCCTTTGCACTGCGAAAGCAGAGCAGCTGTTTACCAGCTACTTTGGTGTGGAAGCGGATGAGACTTGGAAGCGCCTAGGCAAAACATAAGCAGCACGCGCTGCATCGAATAGTAAAAACTGCGTCTAATCACTTCTACCTGTGCACGATGACATTTGTCCAGCGAAATCCTTCCTTGAACCTTTTCCATTTTTCTTCACGCTCAGACGGGCTCAGTTCCTTCACTCCAGCATAGCTTGGCGGCTTTTCACCAATTTCATGAAAATGCACATCTTCGGCCTTGAGAGTCTCGAGCAAGAACCTGTTTAGCGCAGCGCAAAGGCTGCGCATTTCCAGGGTATGCTCGTTTATCTCCGGCGGGACGGTTGGGGGTGAGTTAAGCGGCTTTGAAAATCCCAGATTTAGCGTCCTCTGCGCCGTTCCCTCCTTTGGCTGAACTTTCTTGCGAGTGCACCGCTCGAAGGGTGCACCCCTGAGGATCGGCAATATGTCAGTCCTGAAGTCCCATTGCAGCGGCTGTAGAAATTGTAATCAATAACATATTTTGGCAGCCCACGACTCAATTCCTCCACATTCACATCGAATTGAGAATACTGAGGACTATGGCGCAACCTAACTACAACAAAGAGTCTGGGAATGAAACGTGTTATACATAGGATATTCAGCTAAGTACCTCCTTCGTCTTAAAAAGCAACTCTGCTGCGTTTTGCGTCTTTGTCCGCGCCATATGCAATTGCGTCGAATTATATTCCTTATATGCCTCACAGTGCGCCGCCTTGAGGCGGTCCCCAAGGTCCAAACCCTTGCGAAAGAGTTCCTCTAGATCAAGAAATTTTTGCGCAGAATCCCCCGGTGACATCTGGAGGATTCTAAGGAGTTCGCCCTCGTACTCCTTTTCAGTGATGGCAGCCTTCTCCGTGGTGGTAGGCTGGGTGCTGCTGCTGCTTTCCTCCTCGAGACCAGCGTCCGACGCCGGGCTTTGCCTTCTCCTACGACTTCGCTCACGGCGATGCCTACTTCCGGACTCGCGCCTCTTCCTGCCTGCTTCCTTGTTGCCGCCAGACTTTGTCCTTGTTTCATTGCGCGCCACCGCAGAACTTGAACTGCTTCCCGCCTCTTTCGTTTCCACCAATGTGAACATGATCGGTGGGTCGACGTTCCAAAACGCCTTCTCGCTCATCGTTTCCTCTTTTGGCAATGTGAATATCTGGAGCTTCATTTTCCTCGTGTTTCCGTTTTCCGGATATATAACACACAGGAGTTGTTCCTTGGACTTGGGTGTCTGCTGGCGATAAAACTGCATTTCGCCTCTGGCGCTAATGAAAGGGGCAGTAGACACATTCTCAGTCCTTCCCCTTCTGCCCATTTTGGAACAAAATCTCACCCCCAAGATGGAAGCAAAAGTGATTCGTTGAGAATATCCCTGTTGCTGTCATAACCTTCAAACACATCTTGTTTCTGAAAGAATCCACCGCACAGTTCTCTTCGATGAGCTTCTTCATTTTTTCCTGCTCTACCTCACCCATCAGGGCGAATACCATGCGCGAGCCTGAAAGCTTTCTGCTTTCAAAGAAAGCGGACACCTCTTCGGACCTGGCAACAGTGTCGCGCCCTTCTATTTCAGACGGAATAAGAAAGGATACACGGTTTTCTTCTTGTACACCTTCTCTCAGGATAACGTGCTTCAACAGCATCCCCTCAAATCTCATAGTTTCCGACATCTTCGCTGCAGAGCCGTGTCGGTGTCACAGTCACTACGAGCAGCTATATAGAGTAAAGAACGAGAACGACAAAAGTCGAGGAAGGAGAGTTCGGGCGACGCCAATAGGAATAAACTTCACGACGCCCTTGCTCTTTGGATCCAAAGTAGTTGAGAGGAATAAGACGAGGGAAAATTAGGGTAGTATACAACGGAGGAGTTTTAAAAGTAGTTAATGCAGAAAACTTTTAAAGATAAGGACGTAATCACGCCGATTAGTACAGCTTTTGTTGGGTGGATGCGAAAACGAAATTTGACTAACAGACTGTAATAACCTCAAGCTTTGTGCAAGAATTTTCCAACAATGAATGTTGAATATCCAACTACAAGAGCAAGATAAAAAAAGCGATGACGTCGCGTTGTACAATGAAGACAACCGCAAGAAACCTGACTTGGTCAATTCCAATTCTATCTTTGTAGCAAACAATGAATACCCTCAAATACCAAATATATCTACTGGAAATCGGGGCTCCACTCCTTGTGTGAGGGATCATCTTAATACGGTGCTCCACTCCTTGTGTGGAGGGGGATCATCTTAATACGGTGCTCCACTCCTTGTGTGGGGGATCATCTTAAATCATGCTCCTCTGAGAGTCTAATCATCAGATCCTTGTAAAGTATAACGAGAGATCTCAGCGTCCCGAAGCGAAGATCCCCGAAACCCACTTGGCTGCCAATCCCCGGAGATCCTTTGATGATCTCCGACCTTCGGACTCCGTGAACTCTTTTGCCGGCTTTTTCTTGATCGAGTGATTCCAGAGAGCTTGCCGCTGTTGATCTAACTCTCTATTTTTTCGATCGATTCCGAGCTTATCTGGATCTCTTGTTAGGATCCGGAAAATATTGATTTAACACGCCATCCGCAGAATTTCAGAAATGATCAATTCTACCGATGTCTCCACCTTTTGAGATTTACGCTGAAATTTAGAGCAGCTCGTCATTATTAAGAGCAATGGCTGCTTTTCACTACTTCTAGCTCATAATCTCGCGACAACAATGTTTTTCCCCGCATTGTTTCCAACTGACTGCAAGCCTGACTTATCACTCGCTGTAGTTCTACCCATTATTCTTCAGATCATGACGTCGTTTCTCACCTCCCAAACCTGTCTGACGCATCCATTCGGCTTTTCCGCTTCTCAACACATTCTCGAGACATCACTTTACAACTGGAATATTACAGTTTTTGAAAATGCTTCTCCTGGATCATAATCATGCAGTGCCATTCGGATTCGATCTTCATTACAGTCTAGACAATTCAAAGAATGAATGATGAGGTAGCAAGCCACGGATCCTCCGACAATAAAGGCATGTGTGTGTCTCCGTCATGGTTAAGCCTGTTAACCATCTAAGAGACAATATTTCATAGAAGTTATGGACGAGCCTCCCTCGAAGTAACCTTAGACAGTCATATCTTTCACTTTCTTTCTTTTTTCCACTTCCTTAATGTTCTGTCATCGTAGACAAGCTGCCGGCTACTGCTTGACTTTTTATCAGAAAGATTTAATATCTAGTAGACTTCTAAAGGCTAAACACCGAAATGTGAAGCAAGATTTTCTTTGTAAGAGCCTAGTTATAGTTACTTCTTTCATTCGGTCAAATTTCGTGCTTGTTAATGGATACGTCACCCCTCGCTATTTTCTTCATGTCTTCCCAAACGAGGAAAACCGAACCATTACGCCCAGTGGGAAAGCGCTCTTCTTAAAAACCATTAATGGTAAAAATCTTTTAAAAACCAAGTAAAAATCATTTCAAGTTGTAAGTAAGAAAATCGAATCACATTAGCTAGCAACGGCCGCAACAGCTACGATTCTAACCCTCCGTACTTCTCTTAGCACTACTTTTGTCTTCTTCTCCATACTTTCGTAGCCAGCCAAAAATCGTAGCTCTTCTATTATTACATTCACAATCTCGATGTCAATTGCTTCCCTAGCCATTAAATTCAAGTAAGAAGTAGAGGGTAACGCCACAAGTCAAAGCTTAGATGACGTAAGCTGAGCCTTTTACAAAGATGTAGTCCGCCAACAACTTTAGTCATGATGTTCAATACATGCTGCCAGTTCTATCCCACTTCGTTACTTTCAAAGTGGGCATATAAAAAGAAAAATTTTTCACAACACGAAAAGCCTCCTCTTCGCCTTCGTGCACGTCTTCTCAAATACGATTGATCACATTCTCATATTTCAAGTAAGAAATGACGACGTACAGCCGTCAAATATCTCAGTCATCCAAGGAACGACACCATTACAAATACAGAAGGGGGCGATCACAAGTCAATAAAACAGGGATCACGGCTTGCTCCTTGATTTAAGAGTTGGGAATTCGGAATGAGATGAAAGAGTACATAATTGCAGGACCGATCAGCGATGTACTGTAAATTTTTGATAATTAAGTGAATAGGGACTAACTCTATCTCTATCATTATCTAAGAATTAATCGGAACAGATGACTACAAGAAGAAGATCAAAACACGTTTAGTTCTACGAGACACTATCTAAGCGTCGTAACGACACGAACATATTGGATTACAGATGGATAGATACCGCAGTACGCATTCTTCGCATAACGTCATCAAGTCAACCCGTCCTTCTTCGTGCGCTAATAAGCACGAATGAGGCAGAAGCGACTTCAGTTGCTATGGAATTCATCTTCTTCATCAACAGAGTCGCTCTCTTCGACGAGGGACTCTGGCAGCCGAAACCCAAACCGACCTTCCGCCGCATGGACAACGTTGCGGGAAACCCAAAAGTTAGCCGAAGTTGTCACGCGTGTGTTGCAAAATGTGACCGAGTATCTTGTTCCACTTACGACTTCCTCAACCTCATGCGTGTGGGCTCCGTCATAGACGATGGCCTTGCCCTTCGCGAGATCTACGAATCTCTTTGCCGCTTGAAACTCTTCCGGTACGCCAGTCTTGAAGTGCTCCTGATAGTTCATAACGATTGTATCGTCAGAGCCGAGGGGTTTCTGCCAGACAATCTTGAAATCTCCTCCCTGCACCTCTCCGTCTCCGACGACAAGAGTCAGAGACTTTCCCAGGTTCTTATCGGAATGAGGCGGGCAGGATGCGCCAGGCAAATACCTTCGGTGCGTTTGAGAAAGATAATACATGAGAACGAAGATTTTTGGAAGTGTCCATTTCCGAGGCAGACTCAAGAAATGTTTCCAAGGCAGCCGCGAGAGAAGTTTTGACTAAACTAACGGCGACACGGAACTGAGGAAAGAAGTGACAACAAACTCACTCAAGCGCTACCTTTAAGCAATAACTTCGGCCTACTTAGCACAAGCACACTTGAGTTTTATTTCTGGATATTTCCCAAAATCTTCGTCCTCACAAGAAAATTTCCAAAAATCTTCCTCCACGGCAGCCTCAAGAAAAACAAAGTCCATGAGCTGAAGCAGAAGTGTACACTTCTTGCATAGTGATAGCTTACTTACACCTTCACAAAAACAAACAAAGAGATACACCTTCGCAATGTGAAAGATGGCGCGACTTCTCTACAGAAAGAAAGCTGGCATGCAATAGTTGCTACCTGTGCACGATCACGCTTGACCATGCAAAATCCGCCATGAACTGATCGAACTTCTCTTCCCGCTCCGCCTTCGTCATTTCTTTGAAGCCAGCAAGCGTGTTCGGCATGTCATCCAAGTCATGGAAATAGACGTCTTCACCCTTGAGAGACTCCGTCAAGAACTTGTTCAGCATGTAGCAAAAGCTAGGCATTTCTTTGGCGGCTGTATTGATATGCGGAGGCTCTGGCGCATGCCGGGCCCCCTTCGAGAGACCTAGCGTCACGCTTCGGTGCTGTTCCCCGTCCTTCGGTTTAGTCACATCTCGATTGGTGAGTTTGTAGGGGGCCGTCTTGAGAATTGGCAGAATATCGACCATCAGATCCCATTCGCGTGGCTGTGATTGAATGGGATAAATTCATGTGCGTGTAAGGTAATTGTAGAGGGAAAGATAGATGAGTGATGAACAAATCAAAAGAATCAATCACTGCTCAGAAAAACAGCCGAATCTAAAGGCGGAAAGCAACATCATATTATAGGCTAAGGGTGTTTAGCAAATTACAGTCTTTCTTTGAAGTAGCGACACCGCAGCCATTTCCGTCTTCGCGACCAGGTCTTCCAGAAGCTTTTCGTCATAACGCGACTGCGCATCCCTGTAAACACTTGGGAACCGGTTGTCAAGTAGCTCGACGCCTTTGTGGAAGACTTTCTGGAGGGCGTGAAGCTTGTCCGCCGGTTTATTCTCAGGCATGAGAAGCACATTGACCAGCTCCTCCTCGTACCGCTTCGCAGCGATATCAAGCATCGCGCCTCCAGTTTCGGCGCCTGTCCCGTCACCGGCCGTCGAGCTTTGTCCGGATGACGTCTTTCGCCTTTTCTGTCTCCGCTCAGAAAGACCTTCTTCAGAGTCTTCATTGCCCACGCTGCTGCTCACGTCAGATTCTTCGTCATGGATTCCAACTATAATTGGGCTGGCCACGTCTTTCCAAGCGCTTTCGTTGCCCATCTGTTTTTTATCTGGTAGGTGAAAAAACTGAATCTTCATTCCTGGCGCGTTTCCCTTTGCCAGGTAGGTGATACACATCAGGGACGACCACTCGCTATCTGTATCTGGAGGACTGTAGCGATAAATACTGGGGCCCGCTTTAAACATGACGAGAGCAGTAGGCATGTGCTCAGTCTACTCGCGCATCTTGGATCGCGCTCCACACCAAGATGCTCCCGCGAATACTGTAGAGAGCACATGCTTATGTCACCATCCATAACAAATCCAGACATCTTTTTACCAAACGCAACCACTGGGCACTTCTCTTTAATGGCGTTCTTGAGCTCTTTATGTTCTTTGTCTTTCAAGAGAGAAAACGCCAGGTCCGAGCCAGGTTGATTGCGCTTGGCAAAGAATTCAAGTATTCTATTGGCTTTCTCATGAATTCCAGAGCCCCGCAGGGGGACAGAAAAAGACAAACTGGCGGGCTCCTGCACAATCTTAGTCAGAACTTCATGCCCGAACACCTTCCCGGTGTAAGTGCGACCCACTCGCAATTCCGCTAACATGTTGACCAAGCGCAGTCTTCTATGAGAAAAACTTTGGAAAACAAAAGGAAATTAAAATCAAAAGAACTGAAGAGCTTCAGAAACAGCTGAAAAAGACCTTATTCGCATATAAACTAGATGCGCGGCAATTGAAATAGAGAACATAGAATCGAGCTGAATCGAATATTTATTCCTTGGTGGATAGCCTAGAATGAGACGAATGATCCGATGTGATTCAATAGGACGGAGCGAGATCCGATCCGGAGTAAGAGAATCAAATCTAAGCCGAAGAAGCTTACGATATTGGACACAAATGCGGTAAAGCAGCTGCGTTTTTGACTTTGCTATTATTTATCCCTGTAAATTATATTTGGTTATGCAGCTAAATGTCTTCAAAACTCAGATCCGAGTACTAAAAATCAACAGATCTCGGATCAGAAAATTTTTTGATCGGAAGTGTTATGATGGGCATCGAAGGAGCCACCAGTTAGAACTTGGCCATTGAAGCGGAATATGTTGAGGAGTCGAGGCTCGAAGCAATGGCAGCGAGAGGGGATCATCATCAGTGCATCTCAAAAAGTGGCTCTCAATTATCGGCAAGAGGAAACACCATCTCAGGTGGGGAAAGAGCAGACTACATGTACAGTGAGATGTGAGAAATCAAAATTTTCTATGTGCCTGATCTCTGACTATGAAACGTAGATCTTTCGAGGGGTCGGCTCGACTTGCATCTCTCGTCTAGGTCGTGCCTCTGTTGTTTCTTCTGGTTCCCCGACTCTTTTGTTTCTTGCCTGTACAAGAGCCTGAACCTTGGGTGCGGATTATCATTTGCCGTCATGACCGAGTTGTTGCGAATTAGAATTTTCCCGAAGACCTCGACATACTCGAGTGGTGGAGTGAGCAAGCGTGGTGAAGTGAGCAATCTATCCTTTGACAAGACGACAACAACAGCGCACCATGTTATGAGATCTTAGAGACCTGTCGTGATCGTCTCTCAAGGATTATGCACACTAGACTTGCGCTTCGTGGCGTCGAGAATGTTTCACGCAATCTTCCAAAAAGGTCGTGCCTTCGTAGATCTATTTGGTTCTGCTTGAAGTGAGAGCTTATTTTGCGATACTCTGTTGATTCTTCACTAGATTCTTCTGCTCATTTTGCACTTGTTACTATTATATCTTGATTCTTCACTTGGTTGTTTCATCGCTCTCCTCACGGTCCAAAATTTCCCGGAACTTCTTACAGCGTTCCCCTACTTCGCACTCTGCACGACTCTGAAAATCGATGTAATAACGCAATTGGTCTTCGTAAAACCTTTTACAAGACGCGTATCGAACAGCCGTGCGAAGTGGATTCAACGTGATCGATATTCGGCCAGGGGAGGAGACCGACCGCACAATCTTATTCCGCAGGAGCCACGAACGTGGAAATACATACGCGCCAATCAAGCTCAGAGGCTGCCGCCATACAAGCACAACCACGAAGGCCAGTTCTGCGCCGTCACAGGCATCTAACGGCAGCAGTCCTCTTGCCGGATCGCACCATCGGGTTCGCGAGATACGTCCGTGTGCTTTTCCCGTGCTTTCATGAATGCGTGCCGTTGTAACAAAGCAGTTCTGCTTCCGCAGTAACAAATTGTAGACTTGCCGAAAGCCACCGATCACTTCAAAGTCCACACCTGCTGGCTCCACCAGGTCTCGTACGAATTCCCGGTAGAGAAGGTGCATCCTCCTATAAGCGTCCGTCGCAGCTAGTTGCCCAAGCCAATCCGCCTCACTTTTCTCTGGCAGTTGAGCAAAAACTTCGCGAAACTGCGACAAAAACTGGGAGTCTGCACCGCGTTCTGTGTCCATTGGGGCTAGATGGTACAAATTGAAGCGCGCCTGCGCGGACGATGGAGAACTCCCTAACTTCACGTCCAACTTCGCCGCAGAGAGTACTTCCGCTCTCCCTTCGCGACCGCAGCAAGCGATGACTCCGATGTCTGACGGAAAATCCCGAGCAGCAAAGTTGTAGTAGCTCGCACGAATGGCCTTGGATGCCGCGCTCTTGACGAGAAAAATCTTCCACAGCGATTCTACGCCTTCATTTGGCTTACAGCAGCGTCTACGCACAAAAAGGCTTCCCTGCATTTTGCGCGGCAGTCTTCGGACCTCGTAGTCCGACGCGTGCTCCGCGAGGGTACTCATAATCCAAGCCAGCGCTTCTTCATAGTTTGCGCTCCGAGGCTCCTTCCGAAGCGGCTCTGACTCTGCTTTTTCTGCACGGCGAATTCTGGACGGATAGTAGTATCCCAGCGCATCCATCCACGAGACCCATCCTCGGCCACGGTAGAATTTGTCTGGTGCCAGAGGGATGCGCAGCGGCCGTTTACAGCTTTTCGCCCACACATGAAAATCCGCTCGTTTGCCGAATTTCAATGGACGCACGAGCGCCTTGAACTGCTCGAAATTAAAGAGTCGCGACCTGGTCCGGCAGGCAGACAAATGCTGTTGCACCTTCCGCGGCGCATCGAGCGCGGCAAGGGCCATAATATTCTTGATCCATCAGAACTTCACTTTTTTGTTGCGTACTGCAGATTCTTGATCCCGAGTCCTCTTTTTTGTTGTGTACTGCCTTTTTACTTTGTAAAGTCATTTTTCGGAAATTATAAAAACATCAAGACGTGCTTCTTCGAGCCTTAGTGTAAATGTATCGTCACTCCGCATATCCCCACGATGAGCGCTGATGCGCTCCGCATGGCTGCTCCTGCAAAAGAACCATTAAAAGATACCAGAACACGGGCATAAAAATCCTCCTCTACTCCAAGGATCCCCCTAACTTAAGAGTATCTGATTGACACAGATATTCGATTGTACAGTCAGCCTCGCGGTCGGAGAAGCTCAAATCCAGTCAATCTCAAGTCCTTGGTTAATAATGCAAGTTTAAATCATTCACAATTATAATAAGATGAACCTAGGACTTTCTAAGATCAGTACTTCGGAGGAGCCACAATGTAGCAGGACATCAGTCAAGTCGCAGAGATAGCAGGCGGCGGGCGTTATCGTCATGGTGTTGTTGTTGTAGTTGGTGATTTTGTTATAATTGTAATATCTTTGCTTTCACGCAGCGTGCGCCCCCTAGTTCGTCAACCTTCCACAACAGGTGCTCATCCTCCCTACAACGTCATTAAAACATCTTTACGGTAAGATACATAGTTAGGTGGTAAAAAGAGCTACACTCCAACTTTTCAATGTGTATTGTAATTCCAGCGATCAACGAAAAGCTCCATCGCATCAAGGTTCAGCGGCGTGTCCAACGCATTTGACAGGTACTCATAAAAGTCGTCCCATTTCTTCGATATACTCTCTTCCGAAGAGCCTAAAAGTTCTTCGAGATCCGCCAAATCGATAAGCTCGAACCCGCAGGAACGAGCTTCATCTTGTCCACTCTCTAAATCGAGTGTTGCAAAGATCAGGTTCGCAGCCAGCTCACAAAGAAGTTCGACGCCGCTTTGCTTCCATAAGGTCGCACAATGCTCTGGAAGGGGCTCTTCTTCGGCATTTCTGGCGTCTGAAGAACCCCGACGGCGTCGGAGTAGGCCTCCTCCGGGTCGGTGAGGCGATGGAGATGGTCGGGGCCGCACTGCATCACGATCAAATACCTTTTTGAAGTGCTTTTCCACATGTTCGAGAAAAGAACGCGTCTCTCCTACGCTCAAGCTTCCTTCAAGACTGGGATGGTCTTCATGTCCATCATAATTCGGCAACGTAGTGGAGGAAGGAGAAGAGAAACTACTTCTTGCACGAGGGCCACTGCTTCTTGCTTCAGCAGTTGTGGACGAGCTGCATCCGCTTCCAAAACTTGTTCTTCCTCCAGTAGAGGTTGTCGGCGCCAGCATCCCAGCACCAGCCTTCGGTAGAAGCTTTCCGATGCCACGCCAGACTAGTTCGTCTCTGCATTGGGCGTCGAGGTGATCTGTGATCTTGCGCACCTCGAGAGGCAAGAGCCAATCGGCTTTTTCTGAAAAGGTCCAAAATCTTCCAGCAAAGGCGTCATCATGGATTTTTTCCCCAAAGTGTAGATCAGCAAACGTGTTAGAAGAGCAAGAAAGTCTGGATCAGCTATATACTCCATGTCAAGACGAGGGCGCATCTTTGACCATGGATTTTCCCCTTGAAATCTCTAAGCAGAAATCTCTGATGAGTGAGACAACATCACTAACCCTGTACTTGAAATATGGGGACGAAAAGCTAAATATCTAAATCAATGCATTGACTCCGGTCAACACGTCAAAGACAGAGGTCCTTCCATAGTCATTTCCGCGCTAAATTGCCCAAAAAAACGCAAGAGGTCCTTCGCGCGTTCAGGCCGAAAACCAGGTGGACATGTAGCTTGATGTGTAGAAAATGCTTGATGCTGCTGATCCCGGATCATGCTTCCGTGTTCTTGTTGGTCGTTACCACGAAATCTGGTTCCACGAGGACGTCGAGTACTTCCCTCTCCAACTTGTTGAGGAACATTCATATCAGCATCTTCCCGCCCCATGGTATCTTCATCCCCCATAGTGCTTACCTCCCTCCAGATGGCATTTAAAGAGAGCAGCCCGCTGTCGTTCAGAATTGTCGGAAGTATCACGAAGAGCGTCCCAAGAGCGCATAGCACAATTGTAGTAATTTCGAGAATCTGGCGGACTTCCGGTGAAAACAGTACACGTCCTGGTGAAGATGGTCCTGGTCCTGAGTCAAGAATTGTGCTCCCAATTATCTCTCTTCTGGTCGATAAGAAAGGCGAAAGCGTTTCAACGTCTTAGGGGTTGAAAGTTGGCCCCCCTCTAGTAGGTCGCATATGATCTATGGCTTTCCTACTTGAGGAAGCCATTTAGAGATGCTCTTAGATGATAGGCCAACTTCCAACCCTGCTTAAACGTGGGGACATGTTCCGTCCATTTCAACGTCTCCAGTTCCGTCCATTTCAACATCACACGTCTGTCCTTCTGCATGCCTCCTTTTGTGTTCTAATTGGCGGGCAAGCATGTACCGCATGACCCAAACCAAACATGGCAGGTTGGTGACGATAACAATATTCCTAGCGACTGTGACGAACCGAATCAGCTGTGCTGTTCTCTTAGGAAAATTGGGATTGTTATGCTGCAGGTGATTTGCTCCCAGGAAGTTTCTAGCCATGCGTCGAAGCATTTTCAAGACAACTTTTGCTGTTCTTGAAGAAGAACAACGGGAAATGATCATGTTCCAGTAAATTATCATGTTCTTCATCTTGATTAGGATGGACGCGTCTGAGGACCGCGACGTGGGATCCGGGAGATCTTCTTCATCGACATTTTGAGATGACCCCTGCTCGTCTTCTTCGATATTTTGAGATGACCCCTGCTCGTCTTCTTCGACATTTTGAGATGACCCCTGCCCGTCAGCCGAGAAGGAGGGCAAAATTAGACCGTCCCGGAATCCAACACCTTAAAAATCATCCTGGAGGGTCTGTTTTTCCCTTAAAGGAAGACCCCTGGAGATGGATTACCTGGAGATGGATTACCTGAAGCCTTAACATAAACTCCTTTGTCTTTCCCTTTTCACCAAGCAAGATACGCGTCCGAGCGACCTCGACTAACTCCCAAAACCCTTGTCCGCCGTCTCGAAGGCATTCAAAATCTTGGAAGGCTTCAAGATCAATTCCCAAATCTTCACGTGCCAGAGTAGACCGAAACTCTCTTAGCTTTCGTTTCAACAAATCGTTCGGGTTACGCCGCTCCGCCATCTTCTCCGTCTGCGCAGTTTCTATATCTTTATCCAAAAGCGCATTCCACAACGTTGATGTAGAATCTCCAATTTGTTTATCAATACAACTAGTGCGTAATCGGTTTCGCGGCAAGAACCGATGAACGAGAAGAGACAAAATGCAATACTCCATCTCCTCTGCCAAGTTTTCGTCTTGCTGTTCGGGAAGTTGTTCCTCTAGGACTACATGTTCTGTTCTAGTAGACAAGAAGGAGCTATTGTTTAGGTTTACCTCAACAATGCCGCACGCCATTAACTTAGCGGTGAGTGCCGTGGTTGCTCGCAAGAGGACATCGGAATCTAAATGATCGACACCTTCTTGTACTTGTTCACAGCAACCAATTCTGCAAACCGGGCAACTCGGTAAACTGTTGCGACGAAGTAAGTCCGCAGCATTTCGACGAGATTGACGACCATCACCTTGTACATCAGCATCTTCATTACCTTCATTCCCACGCAAACGCTCATTGGTACCTTGTGCTTGCTGCACCCTTTTTTAGAGCTCCCGCGGCAGTCGCGTCCTCGGTAGCATCCCTGGTGTCTCCTTCTCTATTGGAAAAAGCTAATTACCAAGGATGATTTGGAGGGTGCTTCTGCTGTAGCCTTAACTTTTCTTTTCCAAACAAGCGCTTTTCCAATGCTGTGCACACTCTTTGTGCATGAAGTGGCCGCAAGGGAAAAGCCGGCAAACTTCGTCATCACCATCTCTAGTCCTCGTGGCTCCAGTCAGACACACCGGACATTGCCAAGAGGCATCTTGTTTTAAAAATACTTCTTGGTCTACTTCTTGTAGTGCATTTTGATCTCCAACTTCGACATCACTATTATCAAGTTGGTCACGAAGAGCTTGCACAAACTTCCGGAAAACCTTTTGCAATCGCTTACCCTCCGACAATGCGACTGCCTCGTGCATCTGCTCATCTCGCTCCTCCAATGGAGGCCCTTCGACCTCTCGGACGACTACACGGGCAGCATTAGCAACGTGGATGACGGGCCCTGCGGAAAACGCAACTTCTGCCCAGATAAACGCACTCAGAGTCATGGCCAAGACATGAAAAAAACCATAACATTTTTTCCCATTTTTTTTCAGCGGCATTTTGTTGGTCGCTGGAGTTTTGTATGTGCAAGTCATCTTATTACTTTTCTTACTACAGTCTAGTGCTTACGATGAATTGGAAAACCAGTAGTTCTACATTTCTAGTATTCCTTGCACGTTTACATTTCGAAACTACTGAAGATTATTTCGAAAACCTCCAAAAGTCACTCACACTCGGGTAAGGAGTCCTGTCAAAAGTCTTGTAGCTCCGAGTCAAAAACCTAAAGGTTTGAAACATGAGGAGGATAGTCCACCAACAAGAATGCAGTGTTCAGGATTTCAGACTTTTTTGACCTATTTTTCTTTTGATTGGAGGACCTTCGCGACCTTGTGACACCTCAAACGAGTCGAGCTCTTAGAAGAAGTCGCTCTCCTCTTTGTAGTGCTCAGGGTGGGCCACACATGTGATTTTCCTACTTCTAAAGAACTAATCGAGGTCTTTGTAGAGCGGCATCCATTTCAGCCAACCGAGGTCGTGCGACACATCAACGGGTAGAACCCTCCAACTTCGCCTCAACAGACCTGAAGCGTGAGGGCTCGCACTTGTTTTTCATGCAATATTACCTCAAGGTCTTTTCTTCACGACGTTAGGGAGTAAGGAATTATACAGCTCAACATCTTTCTATAGTGAGGTGGTCTTTAAATGGATATCTTCCAAGGGACATCTTCAGACGGATGTGTTTCTTTCTTTTGCAACAGCATCAAGGGAGGACAGGGAATGGGTCTTGTCGTGTAGGCATCTTGTTCTGTGGAGGTCCACGAAGGATAGATAGACCTCCGTCATCATAGCCCGTAGATCGTGTCAGCCAGGAAAATAAATCTTAATAGTAGTAGTAGTGGTAGTAAGAGTAAACCCAATCCAAGGGTACGTCAAAAGTGTGTATGGGAAGCGGGGAGGTCACTTTGTTACGTAAAAAGTCTCCTCAATATTGAAAGAGGGAGAATGAACTCCTTGTTCCTGATAACTTCAAAGGTCATCTTGCTACTAGAAATCAATTTAGCTCTGTTGTAGCTCCTATCGCTCGTAGCTCTTGTCCTCAGTCTTTAGTACTGTCACTATTATCTTTAACGGAGGCAATCAAAGTAGAATGAAAATCAAACGAAAAAGGGGAAATCTGCATACCTATCAAGGAAGATCTAACGTATCAAAACCAAGAAGAACCTCCATCTATTTATAACAACTTGAATTATGACTAGTTTCAATAAAAGCTAGTAGTTCTTTGTTGTAGTTTCTTCTGCCACTTATTAACGCTGTTCTGTCTAAATAACTACTCTAGGCAGTACAAAGACGTACGAAAGAACGAGCTCCCCACGACAACAGTACTTCTAAATCGATCTGTTATTTAATTTCATCAAAAAATAGTTCCTCATCTCCACTTGTTCTTCAAAAATCTACTACAGAAATTAGTCTTACCAACAAAGGCTATTGTGCTTTCTGAAAAGGACTCAAAAAGATATTTTCACTAGATTGATATTTTTGGATTTATTCTCGTTTTTCTGGACGTTCTCCACCTCGTCCCGGTCCACCAGCGGCACATAATAGGAACATCAATCATTGGTTACTCAGTGCCCCACTTCGTTTTTGCATCCGAAAATAAATAATTAGACCACCTTGTCATCTTTCCTTCAAAAGTTCTCTATTCAATGGCCTTACGAGTTTTAGTCGGGACGTTCTTTCTATGAAAAGGGGGGATAATTGGTCGTAGAAGATGCGATAGGGATAACCCAGTGGCACAGTCATCCCGTCCATCGGGTTGCTGTTAGGCTTGAGCACAAACTTACACCTATCATAGTGTCATCAATATCATGGACAAAGAGACGCTACAAAAAACATGAATGGTATTTTGAATGCTTTAAGAAATGCATTACATGCATTCCCATAAAAACATGCGAAATGAATATTAGATCGATCCAAAAACGAAGTCGTTCAATGTCATTACCTGACACTTGAGTAGTACACACATGATAGCTTTTCTTGTCGTTTAAATCATGCTTTCCTCTCTTATTCGAAATACCAGTTTACGTCTGCCAGCGACATCAAAATTAAACGCTTTCGACCTTTTTTGTCAACGCACCAGCTTGGGTAGGCGCAGAGAAAGCATGCGCTTTACAGAGGCAAAGAGGAAGAAAAAATAATGGGTGGGACAGAAAATACTACAATACCGTGATGAGACAAGTAGAGTCTGATGCGCGCCATAGCTTTTATTGCCGCCTATTGCGATACTGATATAAGAACTTCGTCAAGTTATAGAAAGTGCTACTTACAAGATTCCACGATGCAGAGCGCGAGTGTAAATCAACTGTCAGTCCTCCCTTTATTCTTAAGCAGGAGAGAAAAGACCTATCGATGTGAGACTTGGAGTGATGTATCTCTACTACTCCTACTATCGTCCTGCATAAATCTTCTACTTAGAAGACCGTAGAAAATCCTCTTTCTTCGTTGCTTCGTCTTCTTCTCCATGCAGAGCTCCAGAGCTTTAGCTTACGACAGTAAAAAGCTGTTCGAATCTCCAGAGATCGCTTGTAGAAGCTTTTGCTTTAGAATCGCAGCAGAACTGTAGTTTGGCATCTTCAGGTAGTTCGCGCAGGTCATCACCGACGGAAGGAAAATATCGCCGTTTTTGCCTTCGTCCTTCCTCGCCACTTGTAATTTTGGTTTCAATCCTGCGAAACCAGTTGGAGGCAAACTGTGAGCTCCCGTCACGAACGCCAAAAACTGCTTGCGCTGTTGCACGCCTAGCTCTGGTAACAAAGCGACCAAGTTCTTGTACACTTCGGATTTGACTTAGAGGCTCTTGGGGTAGCAAGACGCGTCTTACTTTTCACTGCAAACGAAGTTGTAACATCGCAAGATACGAATATACGAATCTGGATTGACATATACACCCGTCTTCACTATAATTAAGGCACTTACCAAAAGCACTTTTTACACATACAAGAACACCTAGACTACTCCATTAATCGTCGTCCTCACTAAATTCATCTTTATTTTTGGTCGCAAATTATAATGCCCACTCCATGATTAGTTCTCATTAAATTCATTATTGCGACAAATCAATGCCATAATCTTTACTAAAGCCATGTGCTGCGTCGATATGTTTTTCTAGATGCTCCTTGTTCCAGAATTCGTTGTCCCGTGTAGAAACCCCAACGATCAAATTCGACAACTCTTCTTCTGAGAACAGGCACAGAGATTCGACACTGTGAATGTTAGAGCTCAAATAAATCATCTTCAAAAGCATCTTCGGCGTGCTTTCTTTCCGTTAAAGAAAAGGCGACCAAAGAAGATGCTTCTCGAGATGAATTGCAGGAAGCCTTAAGAATACTGAGAAGGGCTTCGCGAAAGACCAACACGGACTCCCGGATGGAAGCGTAGAGAAGCGAAGAAGCGACCAAGGAGATGTATTGGTCGACGCTGTCCTATGTAAGGATTGAGGGATTTGGGGATTGTTTTGGTGGTGTTTTGATTTGCTTTAGTCGGTAGGTAAGATTAAGAACGCCTTCTAGAAGGATCACGTGGCTGGTGGAGGAGTTGACTTTATTAACACTGAGTTGTTAAGAAAAAAGAGTACAGCAAATCGAACTCATAAACGAGACCTCATTCAAACTACCACAGAGAAAGATGATCACAGAGTAGATACCTTCGTCACAATCTTCTCCCTTCCTCCTTCGACTAATTCAAACCGCTCGTTGGTTCCCGGCAAGACGAAGGAGATTTCCAAAGCCTCTACGTCGTCCATAGCTCTCAGCTTCTCCAAGCTAAGCCATAGCTCCGAATCCACGAGCCGCAAATCTTGAACGCTGAGGAAACTCGGAGAGGCTTGTGAACCACGTACGAGACGCCAGAAGAGAGGGTGGAGCCTGTGAAGCGGGGGAGAGGGTTGAAGAGATTTCTTAATGAGAAGAAAGTCACGCCTTCATTGATTTCTTGAATCAAAGTGCATGGGAATCATAAAAAGATGGCCGCGTAGCGGTCACAAGATGCGCGCGGAAATAGAGGGGGGCCCGGGCGCTTTCAAGTCCACCTCCGCAGCTAGCCAGCCCCCGGAGAACGTCAAGCAGGCGGAACGAAGGCAAGGGAGAACAGCAGGGGCCGGCGCCTGTAGGAATGAGCCAACAGCAGGCTGGCCTCTTTGGCGCGGGTTTTCATGCTGGCGCCAAGTGTCGTGGCCCCTTTGTGCGTTCGTGCTCCCTTCCAAGTTTCGGCTCGCCATGCAAGACGCACAGCGCGGGCGTCTATCTGACAATAGTGGCGCGGCCACTTCCCCTATGGCGCGGGCCGCGGGCCTTTGCGATAGTTCTGCCGCCGGGGTCCTTCAAGCACTTATAGAAGCAAGTGCCGCAGTGCCTCACGGTTCTTGCCTTTTCACCCCTCAGCACTTTCTTGCCCGCTGCTCCTCCTGACCAAGCGGGCCGGGCCCACGACCGCGACCACCCCAAGAAGGTGCGCCCAGCTCTCTAGGCTCCGGGCCCCTTTGTGCCGCCGAGGCGGGCAGCCGCGTCGCCACGACCTTGCGACCCCGCCGCCTTTACCTGGCCCTCCCGATAAGCAGGCGGAGAGCGTTCACCCCCAGCCCGGGGGGTGCGGAGCTTGGCAAATGTTCGAGGGGGGCGATGCACGTGGACGCAGGTGCGGCACTGCGTAGCCCCGGCGCTGCCTAAGCGGTTCCCTGGCGTGACCTAGTGCCGCCGGCCGAAGGGCTGCAACAAATAGCCACGCCGCCCCGCGACCTGTGGCCGGCAGTTTCCACGTGTGCAGGTGAAGTCGGCCCGCAGCACGCGCCCTTGGCCCCGTCAGCCGACCCCATTTCCCAGGGGCATGCCAGGTGAGGCCGAAGCCCCCGCTTTACTACGTAAGCGCGGCGAGAGGGCGGGCGGCGCCGGGTTTCCAGGCTGCTACCAGCCTAGCGCGCCGAGCCCTTGCACGTGTCAGCAATGGCAGGGGTGCGCGATGCGTTCTCGGCTGGTACAGGAAGGCGGCGCCTGATATCGCTACCGGCGACACAAGGCCGCACTGCGTGATAAGACATAAAAAAAAAAAGCAAATGCAAAAAAATAGTACTGTAAGTCGATGAGTCGCCCATCCAGCAATGCTTTCCCCACTAGCTGCCCAAGCAGTCGAAAGCACGCTACTGCAACCTTCGGGTTTTCGTGGATGCAGAGCGGTGCAGGGAAAAGATAGCCGTCCGCAGATGTGCGCCATAAACAAGTTCGTTTTTCAGGCGCCCTCTCGCTCGGCATCGTAGTCTGGTCAATGTCGCACAGCAAGTCCGTACCATTGGGACCGACGCCACTCTTCGCGCCACAGCAAGGCTCCTTGAGCATTTCTACCACGGTGCTGTAGAACTCCAGAGTTGGCCCACTTCCTGTACCCACTTCGTTTGCAAACTCCACTTCCAAAATTGCTGGCGATTGTGCATAGAGGGCCATCAACTTCTGCGCCGACTCTACCAATCTCGCGCGACTGATACGGACTTTCTGTCTGGGAATGGGCGCCAAGACGTTCTGAGGTCTCTGAGATTGCTGGCGTGAGTTGTTAGCGCCACTCCGCTGTTGGGCGTAGTGCATGGCCCGACCGAGCCCTGGGGTTGTGAAGAATATATTGGAAACTTCGCAGGAGCGTCCGACAGGACGAGTAGATTAAATTTATAAAAAGATGAAAAATAAAGGATCTGAATTGATTCACATTGCTTGTCGTATGCCTTAATCCTCTGGAAATCAACTACAGGGGTGAAAAGCTGCATCAAACCGAAAAGCAAGACAACGCTATCATCTCTAGTTGTACCCATATGCAGTCCTTGATGCATCGCTCTTTTCGCGGACGCAGAAAAAAGGAAGTTGTTCCGCACACCCAACACAGGTACCCACTTGGCATGGGCTCTCGCTGCAATCGTCACAGGATCGTGCAGCTGCCTCAACGCGTGCGTCGTCAAACATTTGGAAACAAAAGCGCCCTCGTTCACCTTATCGACAAAGGTCTGCAGCGATCCAGGGGTGGAGGAGGTGACGTGCGCGGTAGTCCTGTAGTACGCGCTGATGCGATGAAGCATGGCCAGGAAGTCCAATAAGCAACGCAATTTCGAGTCAGGAATCAGGAGAGACTCCCAAGCTGTGGTTTGATCCCCTCCAGAAGCTGACGTCGACTCTAACATGCTCATTGCTTTCGAACCATGGTCCTGTTTTCCAACGAGTAACGATTCTGCAGTCGTAGATGCGGGAAGGGGAGCATAAGATATGGCACGACTCGCATCACTGTAGTTGTTGTTGCTGTTGTTCTTTCCATTGCCTCGATTGCTGTTCATCCAAGAACCTGCACCACTGAGAGCACACGCACTACTGCTCAAAGTCCTCAAATGCTTACGCAGTTGCTGCAATTCCACTAAGAGTTTGTCGAAATCAGACTCGAAAAAAAATGGTTCGTAATACGGCGCAACCGGACGTTGGATCTTGGGCTTACTCGAAGAACTACCAGCATGCTTGTGAGATCTACTACCATGCTTGTGAGACCTACCACTACTACCATGTTGTCCATGCTCCTCCCTTGTTGAAGAATGCGAATGCGAATGATGTCCTTGACCACCTTGGGCAGTAGTAGTAGCACTACTACTACTAGTAGATCCTCCAGGACCTGCACCAGGACCACCAAACCCTGGATCAAAGAGACCACCAGACGACGCAGAAGATGAACCCGTAGCACCAGGAGGACCGCCAAAAAGACTTCCCATTCCAGTGGTTGATGTGGTCGTACTACTTGCGGCAGCACCACTTGTAGGACCTCCACTTCCACCACTGCCACTACCGGATCCGCCATTCATCTGCGTAGACGAAGAAGCGTGCATCTTAGTCGTGCTTGCGCTTCCTCCTCCAGTATTACCTCCAGCTCCAAAGTGGTTCGTAAAGATGTTCGAGAATGAAGCCGCAAAGCTACTACCAAACGATGCACCCGGGTTCGTTGAATGCCTGATCTGCTCAACCAAGTCACCGCCTTCAGATGCGCTGGAAGATGCAGGATCTTCGGATGCACTGGAAGAGGAAGGATCTGGAATCTTCGCGGCGCCCATAAGTTGGAGTTGACGAGACAACATGATATTCGAATTGTTGTTACCAGCAGTCTCGTCAACAGGTGAGGTTACTTTACTACCACCTCCAACGGATAGATCAGGCGAGGATCCTTCTGGAGAGTCTAAAGCTGTAGCAGGCGCACTTTCTTCATTGGGCGACCGGTTTAGCGAATCCAGTCCTTCGGCAGCATTGCTACCACCTAGGACGGATGGGAATGTAGGATTACTACTGGAAGAAGTTGCTGCAGTGGCCATTGTTGTACTAGAAGTGGCCATTGTACCCATCGTAGTGGTCGTCATTGTCGAAATTCCAGCAGTCTGCTTTCCTTTTCCACCATTGGTTTTTGCTCCACCTTTGTTTTTTCCTCCGTAGTTGTCGAGACCAAAATGCTCCTTCACAATGCCTTCCATAACATCTACGCAGGCTACTTGACGAGGCACCATTTTGGATGTCAACAAACTCAACAAACAGTGTTGGTCGATCATACCTCCGAAATCGCTGTCCCGCGTGACGTGCGCTATGCCATTGCCGTGCAAAACGGTAGCAGAAAACTCTATCTCCATGAAGAAGGTGGTGCCCCACAAAGAAGCACTCCTCACCGCTGACTCTCCGGCGAAAACGTCGTCTGTGGCTGTGGGAAAAAACCTCGAGCCTGTCGTTGCCGGTGGAAGCATGACTGGATGTGAAGAACCTTTTGATGTTGTTGTAGAAGATACAAGCTGTGGGTTGATGCTCCTGTTCTTCGAGAAGATGGTTGGCGCCTCTAGTAGAGGTTCGATTGGCGTGCTTGTTGTGGCAGCAGTAGAACTAGAAGAAGCAGGTCCTCCCTTTGCAATTCCAGTTCCTGCAGACCGATCCCGGATCCACTCCGTCGGAACATCGGCAGCAGGAATCTGCAAATGTGAAGAAGTAGTGCCTCCATAAAGTGACATATTCAAGTTTGGTAAGGCTCCTTTGCCTGATGAAGGACCTGCGGTGCTAGACTCTCCTGCTGCACTAGTGCTTGCAGAAGCCTGTTGTAGTTGTTCCCTCTTCTTCCTCTCCGCCGCATAGAGCGAAGCATCTGCTAAGGCTTTGACGAGAGAAGTGTCGGACGAAATAGCATGTCCGTTCACATCGTAAATCACGATCTGAGGCTGCTCCAGAGCGATCACGACACAACCTGGCGTCGACAAGACGTTCCGCAGCATTTGAGTCTCGCCCATAGCCCGCGCGTGCTTCTTGGCAATCTCAGTCTCCATCACTTGATCTAGGGTCATGGAACTGGATGAAGGGTCTGCATCCGCCACTCCTGGACAACTAGAAGGAGCACCTTTAAGAGGACTGCTAGAGCCACCCGAGGCCGGTGGCGTCGAATAGATCATGCTCATAGGGGCACGACGTAGGAAATCATATCGATCCTGGAGGAAATCGCAGATGCTCTGAACAGTGGCAAGAGGTTCTACTAACAGAATGTCTGAGGTGAGAACGGGAGCTGCTGGAGGAGGCAAAGCTGGAGAAGGCAAAGCTGAGGAAGACGTCGTGGGACCTCCCGAAGATGCGGAAGGCATCCTGCTAGGCATGGTACTAGTTGCTGTCGCTGCTGAAGATAAAAACGATGCTGCTTCCGACGTAGCTCCTCCTGTTGGCATGATCCCTGTTGTACTAGCGGTCGTTGGCATGATCCCTTTCGAAGATGTAGTTCCCTTTGCTGAAAATTCATCTCCCATTCCCATTGTTGATCCTTCCTTACCAAAAGACCCTGTATTCGCCGAGGCAGCACCACCATTTTCATCTTGCTGTTCCATAGCACTATGTCCTAGAGTCGAACCTGTTGGAAAAATTGGCGTGGAACCTATGGGCGCGGAACCTACACAGCCTGGTCGTGGTATGAGACGGATTTTCACTGGCCGGCTCAACTTGCTGACGCTTTCAGAAACCAAACTTCCTCCATTAGAATCAGTGTAACCGCTGATAGGACGTAAATGATGAGGAATTGCCCCATCTTTAATCGCGTTGGTCGTTCCTGAAGCTTGTCCTGGTGGAGGTGGTCCGCTGACCACAGATGAACCAGAAGAAGAAGATGCTGCCATCATCATAGACTGCATCATAGAAGCCATAGAAGGGATCGTTGCACTTCCACCTGGAGGGTGGGTACTTAGAGGACCTTCTCCAGGCATTTTTGCACTAGGCATCATACTAGGCATCATCCCTGGCATCTGCATGAACACCATTGCACCATTACCCACATTCATCGCTGGCGTAACCGCAGTGGCGGAGAACAGATGAATCGGAAGAGTTCCGCACAGACTGGGCGTCAATGCCGCAATGCACAACCGCACCAAGCGGCGACACACCTCCACGCTCGAGATGTTCTCGCGAGTTTCAAAAACCTCTCGCAAAAAAAGCTCCAATACGCGTTTGCTCGCATCATACTTCTTCTGGTTGCTCTCCTTGCTCCCGAAAACGTCAAGGGTATTATTGTCCCCCTCGTCATCAACGTCGTCATCTTCATCTTCATCTTCATCACAATCGTCGTCGTCGTCATTCTTCAAGAACGCCTTTACCTTGCCATCCAACACCAGCGGCAACAAATAGGGTAGTAGATTCACCAGTTCTGGAGCATACAAATCGCCCGATTCGAGTGCTGCACCGAGTCTCTGGAAACCTCTAGTCCAATCCCCACGACGCAAAGCTCCGGAGACTCCCTCCACGATATCGATCTCGCCTGTCAGAGCTGTAGAGCTAGATTAGAGCTACTGCTTGCACATCCCTAACCACTGCACGATACTTGGCGTCTTTTCCAGTTTTACAGGAAATCAATACTTAGCCAACAAAGATGATTACTTTTAAGGATGCTCTTTGTTTGGGTTGCCTTAACTGAAGATGTGATCTCGGTAATCCTGTCGCATACTCAAGATCTTATGGGCCATGCAAGCGATGATGTCCATCACGGTTGTTTTGCAATCGGGAAAATCCTCTAACCTTCTGGCAAGTGCGCCAGTAGAACCAGAACTAGAACTAGAAGCGTCTCCAAATTGTTTTCGCAATTCTTCAAAAACACCTTGGCGTTCAAACTTGGCAAACATGTCGTCTGGTTCTTCACCACCACCACTCGTGTTCATCATCTTTGCCGCTTTCGATGCTCGCAATAGCGAATCTACGACGATCAAGTAGCTCAAATAACTGCTTTCGGAGGTGACGCAATGCAAGCGTAAGACATCGAAACTCATGAATTTTCGGAAAGTCTGCAGGCCTGTAGTTTCTGCAGCATCAGCAGGGTTGTTCTCGCGAGGACTAGAATTCTTACTCGCGTTGCTTCCTCCACTGATTGCAGCTCCAGAAAACAAATTGTTCCTAGGTGTGCTTCCTCCACTGAGTGCACCTCCTGAACCAGCTGCCTTGTTCCCACTTCCTTGTTGTGCAGCTCCAGCAGCAGCGTTGTTCTCCTCCAATTCACGGAATAAGACTACCAGTGGCAATACGCAGTTCAGCGCCATCGTGGAAATCAATGCCGATCCACTGCCTTCGTACAAGTGCAGGATCGTTCCCAGACAAGATTGTGCCAGTTTCAGGAGGTTTTCCAGGTTGTTGTCGGTGAGAAGCTTGCAACGTTTACTATTTTGCGCGTCTACATGGAAATGCAAGGAGTTGAGACCCGAAGACGATGAGGTCCCGTCAACAGCTTGCACACCTTGATGTGCTCCTCCTCCTCCGACCATACCCGCGGTATTGCTGCTTGGCGAGAAAGCATCTCCTGTCGTACCATTGTTGTCCTTACTTCTCCCTCGTGTCCACAAGGAGGATAGTTTGTTCATCAAACCTCTCGCAGTAGAAGGTGAAGCCGCTTCAGAGCCTTTGCCTGATTGTCCACCCGAAGATGCTGGAGGGGAATAGTACACATCTGGTAACAAAGAACAGATGACGCCCAATGCTGCGAGACACGTTTCGCAACTCCGTATTAGACCGCTCCGAAGTTCATCGCTCGACTGCATCATTGAAGGGTATAGCATATACCCCGAGCAGACTACAACTCGAGCATACTCTATTTCAGGGAAGATGCAGTCAAAAGTGAATCAAAGTATGGAGCCGTAATTGTACGTCCGATTGGCCCATGTTGGCTGTCAACGTTTCAGCTAGTAGGTCGTGCAAGTTCCTCTCGAATGCCGCTTGCGTCAAAGAAGCGCTGTAGTTCACGCAAATCGACAGGATATGGAGTACATCCGCATTCGTACTGTTCTCTTTCAAATCGTCTAAAAGGCTTTCTACAACCGCTACGGGACAGATCTCTTCGAATTCCTCGTCAAAGGATCTCTTCTTGGAGGTCTTACCATTTTTATTAGAGCCATTGATTTTTACCACCACTATATTTATTAGAGGACACTCCTCGGGTCAAAATTTAACAGATTCATCTTTCACGATCTGGAGGATCCTTGAGAAGAATTGTTGTATCAGCAGGAGTAGAATAAGATACTCGTCACGCATACGAGAATGATCCCTTTCGCCAAGGAACGTGTCCTCAGGAGATTACTCAGAGATGAGTTAACTACTTATCATGATCCCTAATGATAGCCTTAACGTTAGCAGTTCTTGAAGATGTCGTCCTAGCCGCAGCTGGCGTCCCATCGTCTTCATCCGTAGCGGATCCATCAAAAGCGGCAGGGCCCAACTCGATAGAAGGGCCTCCTCCACCACCAAGTCCTCCGCCAAGTCCGCTAAAACAGGCAAGCATTGGCATAAATCCACCATGCATCACTGCAGTGGCACTTTGCATTTCTGCCATCGTGTTTAATCCGACAAAAGCGTCTAGCATTTTACGCCAGCACTCGCAGATTTTGGACCGAACCATGGCATCCGGGTGTCGCAGTAGCTGTGTCATCTGCGCAATCGCTGGACGCACGTGCGTCTCGAAAGCAGTGCGCGTCTTGACGTTGGACAGCATCTTGCTGGAAGCGGAAACAGCTTTTCTCTGCAGAGTAATGTGAAAGAAGTCCAAGAACTGCAACAAGCCTAGTAGGCCACCAGCATTGAGGACTTGTTGCGGCACGTCATCGGTTATTTTCTCCAAGACATGGATCACTTGCTCTGCGACGTCAATGACGTCGATCTGCCCTAACTTGGATACTAACACTGAAATTCCTCCTTCCGCAGCGACTAAGCGCGTAGTTGGCGGAAGGATGTCGATCAAGGTGTAGATGCATCGACACGCTAGGATCATTTGTTGCGATGAACCTCCTCCATCAGCATCGCCAAACATGCCCATAATCTTAGAAAGGAGCTTCGCCAAAAAATTCATCTTCGAGTCCTCGTGCAATTCCTTTGTAGTGCTGTGTTTCTTTCTTTCCCCTTGAAAGCATCAGCATCTCCAAGATTTGCCTCTCAAGAAGTGTCTTTCCCCTTGAAGAAAGCACGTCATCGTCAAAGATGCCTTTGCCCCCTCTGAAGATGAATTTTTAGCAATAGATAAATAGATTTCCTTATAAGGAACAACCAGTAATAAGTTAGTAGTGATTATTCCTTATAAAATTTAGCTTTCCTTATTTAATTCTGAGCCATAATCATGAGAGACGTCTCGTCCATTCCATCGAAGAACGCGCCACCACCGCCAAAAGGGTCTCCTCCCCCACCACTTGGGTGCTCTAGGCACTTGAGCAAAGCGGGAACCGCGGTTTCCATAGGAAAGTTCAACAGCATATCCTCGGAACAATACTGGAGTCTCTCGTTCAAGTCTGTTAAAGCGGCAAATTGTCTCTTTGGGTCTTTCAAATTGGCAATGACGGATGACCAACGGTTACTCGCACTTGTGCTGGATCCGCCTATCAAAATCTGAGAGTGAGACGCTGTGGAACTGCTAGCACCTCCTTTTGCGTTACTCGAAGACGATCCCGAGCCGCTGGTCGTGCTACTGCCTTTCATCAAATGTCCGGACAAATGACGTTTTATCTCGTCCGGTATTTTCTCACCCATCTCATCCAGAATCCTCAAAACGTCACTGGCAGCCCCGTTTCCTCTTGCTCTGTCCAGCAATGACTCGAATAAGATCGATGTGCTTGATGTTTCATTCCCGCTAGAAGAAGACGACGACGACGACATGACTTGACTTGGAGCACTTGACTTGTTGTTTCTACTAGCGCCACTTGAAGAGGATGATGAGGATCCCTGCTTCATACGATCGTTTTGTAGAGGATCCCTGATCGTTTTGTAGTTCCCATGCTTCTTACTACCAGATGAAGGTTTTTTCTTGTTCCACGATGAAAAGTTGTATTCACTTGAAGAACCCCAATGGTCGCGTTGATGACCTTTAAAAATATTTTAGACCTTCCGGGAATTATCTCCCATTGTAGAAGTCAAATCTTGGACCCGTTTCCCCCTTACACGGGAGGTCCAAGATGCTGCTTCTTCTGAAGTCAAAATGGGACATTTCCGGAAGTCATAATTATTACTCTTCTTCGCGTTGGAAGGATTTGAAGTCGTAGAGTTCGCATTGGCACTGGAAGAAGATGAAGATCCCGGTTGATTAGTACCTTCCGCAGAAGTACCAATAGCACCAGAAGAAGATGAAGAAGCACCCCCTCCAGCAACATTTCCTGCGTTTTCTTCAGCTGCAAGGCGTTTTTGTTCTTTGTCCTTGGCTTTTGCTCGTTGCCTCCTGTTCAGTCGCTTCCCATCAGCCTTTCGTACTGGGAGGATATTAGCTTCTTCTACAACTTGGTTCCCTTCTTGTTGACCATCTACATGGACATTATCCGCCTTTCCTCCTTTGCTTTTACTTTTACCAATGCCACTTTTCTCGCCTTTCTTTCCTTGTCCATCTTGGTGTTTACCTGCTGAAGAAGGGCTTTTATCTTTTTTGCCACTTGTTCTCTTGCCGTCTCGACTTTTAGAGCTGGCTCCCTTGGTGTTCCTTTTCCCTTTGTCAGTATTTTGTTTACCACTATCTGCGTCCTCAAAACCAAGAGCAGCATCAAGTAGCAGATCCTTTGACTTTTTAGATGATGATGCTCCTCCAGCACCTCCTGAAGCACCACCCTTAGTAGTAGAGGAAGAAGCACGACTAGAATTTTTCCCCTTGGTTTTCCCTCTATTAGCGTTGTTGCTTTGAGCAGCACCTTCATCGGCCTTGTTCTCCTTCTGTACCCAAACATGATTCTGAGATTGCTTTCTACTTCGCTGTCTGGATGAGCCGGTAGGTGAGGCTACTGGAGCCGGAACTGCACTATTGCTAGTAGCGCCATCTGCTGCCTTAGTACTATTAGGGGTTGAAGGTTGGCGTCTCTAGCTCGCATATCTGTGGCTTTCCTACTTGAAGAAGACATAGAGACGCGCATAGAGATGTCAACTCCCAAGCCTTAACAATACTTCTAGATGATGAAGCAGCAGCAGGACCACGACCATCTTCGGCCTTTCCAGCTCCATTACTTCCTCTTCGTCGACGAGAAGATGAACTACCCTTATTTTTGCCTGTTATATTAATTCCACCTTCAGCAAATCGTGAAGATCCTGGGGACGATGAAATTTCTTGTTTTCCACCCAAGGTGTGGTCTTTTCCACCCTTATTGGAAGTAGATTTCATTGATTCATTCTTAGAAGTGGTCTTACTACCTCCTTGCATGATTCCCTTGTTAGAGGACTTCTCTCTTGCCGATCTAGTTGTACAACTAGAGACATTCTTGTCCTTGCCAGATGAAGTCTTGTCCTTGCTCGAAGAAGGAGGTCCGTCCATCAGCTCAAGACGTTCTGGGGAGAATCTTGATCGTGGTTGGTAGTCAAATCTGGATGCTGGCGATGAAGAGTAAGCCATGCTGTTGCCTTGAGGGCTCGCTTCTCCGCCACTGCCTTTCGGCACACTGTTCGAAGCAGTGCCTTTCTTCCCACGAGCACTGTATTTTCCACCACCACCCATCTTGTCCTTGTCGAAAGCAGCTGACGCTGAGAGGGAGGAATTAATTAGAGCTCACCCCTTTCCATCTCGAGACGCATCGCGATGCTTCTCTCCCCTTATGGGACAGCCTCAGGATGCTTCAGCAGATGGACTAGGGGAAGCCTTAAACTAAATAAATCTCCCTGTAACAACAAGTCGTCCTCTTTCAAGTCTAATGCTTGCGAAACTCGTTCGCCGACTGTCGCTGCTAGGGTATGCTTTTGTCTTACAGTCTTCGGTACAGTGATCTTCTTCGATGACGTTGCTTTCTTACATGGGGGCACAGTTGCGGGAGTCTTATTTTGCTCCTTTGCTACTACGGTACTAGAGATGTTGCAAGAAGCCTCGTTCTTGTTGTTCGTAATGGCAGAGGAAGCAGAAGAAGAAAAGCCGGGATTCACTTTGCTGGAGGAAGAAGATGAGGACCCTGTGGAAGACGCTGCTTTATTCTTATCCTCAGTTTTGCTACGCTTCGACTGTTTCGGTCCCTCACCATTCGACGAAGCCGCAGATCGAGACCGCTTACTAGACCCTACTTCTACTCGTGAAACTGAAACTAGAGTGGTCCGTTCTTCATCTACAACTCGTCCATGGTCCTTCTCCAGGGGCTTCTTCACTTTTTTGGTCGTAGAATTTCCCGTCATGATTCTTCACATCCTTCATTATTTTCAGACATCTGTTTCAAAAATTCGAAAAAAAAAACAAGCTCTAGGGATTTCAACATAGTGGTACAACTTCTAACAAATCACTGCGTGAGTGACACACCGTCAAATTATAGGGAGATATAGATAGTTCTAGTTTCCTAGTTTTACAGTTTTTCGATGTGACTCTTTTGTTCCTATAGAATGCTCTTTTACGAGGAAAATTTATAGAATGCTCCTGTTCATTGTTGTAGTACACAAACGTGGAAAACCCTTATCGATAAATCAAAATAAAAATCGCTTCATGTTGTAATGCTCACCTCGTCTTAGATAGAGATACGGCACTACTTCCAGTTGGAACAATACCACAAGTAGTAGTTGTTCATCAAACAATCAAATCGAACGACTCAAACGATAAACGTGAGATCCGATTGTTCCTTGAACGAGGATAGCGAAAATGACTACAACTAACTTAGTGCATGATGTTCATGAAGTAATACAGTAACTCCTCTATTCTTTCATTCAGTCACGCTACCCCCCTACTTTTTTTTTTTTTGGGACCTGGGTCTATATTCCTCGCCATACGAGCATTTAATTACCCTGCGAGAATCCTGAAGCACAACGGCCAGGCACCTAAAAATACTAGACGATGAAGCACATACTTCTCCTCAGATGAAAACCATCGAGGTATAAATATTACGTACAAAGCGATGAAGAAAGGGATGAAACTAGACTAATAAACGCCAAAAAGCCTTTTATATTCGAGTACGACGACATCAACTTGCACTATTCTATCCTCCTGAACGGAGGAAGGTTAACCACAAAACACAAAAATGAAAATCTGTGTAACAAGTTGTATTCGAAAATATTTATATTACTCTGCTCTCTTTCTTCTCCTGTGTGGGAGAAATAGAAATTGCGAGATTCGTGAGACATCGTCGAAGACGATTTGACCAGCTCTTTTAGATTGATGAGACCGATACTTCATTAGGATGCCAGTACAGTTCAAAGACGGTACTTGCCACATGGCTACAAACGTTGCCACATATACACATCCAACGCTGCAAAGGATTATGAGCCGACTAGGCAGAATAACTGCAGAACGATTAGCAGCATCGATGATAGTAGCAGATGCACCAGTTCTAGTTGTACAAGCACAAGTTTTACAAGCACAAGGCTCATGCCACGCGAGTTGTCCTAGGGAGCTGGCTCCTTGAAATTTCATATGCGTGCGTGCAGGAGGACAAGCACCATAAGGGTGCCCAACGGTTGTTCTGTTTTATCTTCGTTTCGCCTCAGATAGAGGTCCGACACAAATTGATGAAAAATTCACATCAACCAAATCACGTGCTTCATGGGGTGTGGTGAATCAAAGGAAGAGCCCTTTCGCTTGTGTGCGGTTGGGAGACTGACCGAACGCATAATCTAATAAATCCAAATTTGAAAAAGCTCTTCATCGGGTTGAAGAGATTGATGTTACAGGAGCTAGGGACTGGCAGCTAGGGTTTTTATGTGACAAACTCTGGATCCGTCGTGTCCGCAGACAACGTTTTCGGCAACACTGTCTGAGCCACCAGAGACCACAACAAGATCAACAAATACAGCGTACTCTGAAACATATAGGCCCAGAAAGACTGAATGCTAGACGACGCCTGTCCTGGTGCAGACAACACACTGCGAACCCAACTGAAGGAGTCAGATATGATCAAGAAAGCAGCACAGAGACCACAGAAGAATATCGCCAGATTCACTTGTCGTTTTTTACGCCCTTTGAGTTTCAACCTAGCATGCTCCTCGCGCTTTTGAGCAATCTTACGTTCTTTCTCCAACACTCCTCTGCTTTTTGCGCTCATTATTCTAGTGCCGGTTTTATTGTCCTCCAAAGCATCTTCTTGGTCTCTAGCTTCGTCCGAGTCGAAATCTGTACTATCTCGATCCTGACTAGCGTAGTCTTCCCCACTACCATCATCACTATCTCCCACGTCGTCATAGAAGTCTAAGTCCCTATCGTCCACAATCGCATCTTCGTCCCCACCTTCTCCGCGATACCCGCGATAATCAAAGTAGTCTTCCTCCTCTTCATCGGCGTTTCGATTCTCCAACACTCGCACTTCTCTCTCCTGGTTTCTCTTTTTCGCGATTTCTCTACCTGCTGCACGCAAAACATGCTCTGTACGAGTCCTTCTGGCGCTCATTTTATACACGTAAGCTAACCCCACTCCTGCTTCCAAAAAGGCTACCGGCATCCCAACTACGCCCAACAAGTGATTCACCCAGTGCGTTCCGTGTTCTTTCACCTGGTCCAATCGGTCGAAATACCTTGCTGGATCGAGTTCATAGAGCGCCATGGCTGTTGAACTGCGAGTCACGTCACTTAGATCGCCTGCTGCTTTGGCAGTACGAAAAGCAACGGCGAAGGAGACGAAGGCAGCTGTCAGTGCTAGTCGTCTTTCGGCGACGAAGAGAGAAATAACATAGACACCAGAACAGCAGATGACAGAGGTCGCCCAAATACCCCACAGAACAGTCACATGACCTTTCCAATCAGCTGGTGGACCTGGGTCGTGTAATTTAAAGAGAGAGAGATCATGATACGTGTGGTTCAATTGTAAAAATTCTTGATGTCGATTACCAGAGAATATCGAAGTAGACGTATCTACGTGTAGAGGCCAGCGAAATAAAATTTACAAGTGATATTCGATTTTGATAAGTAGTTGGATGGCTGATATCAAAGTTAATGAAATATAGTCACAAGTACCTGCAATCTCTTCCCTCCTCCAAAATACCGTTGCTGGCGTCGCTACAAACAACAACAAAGAGAATCCCCCAAAAAACCAGTAACTGATCCAGAACCACGCTGGCATCTTTCCTTCTTGCACGGTTGCTCCCAAGCGCACTTCGTTCGCTTTCGTCAGCGCTAAGAGACTCGCTCGAAAGGTCAAGTCAAAACAAAACACGAAGAACAGGATTTGCAGCAAACATAACAGCCACATGCCGACCATTTTCATCCCATAGAAGAATATCAACGGCGCGAAACGCAAGAGAACGACAAAAATGCTGGCAAGGATGACGATTTTGAGCATGTTGTAGTTGCCAAGGGCGAAGAAACGGCCACCGCCAGGACAGAGGGAAAACAGCAGCATGGTGCTGGAATAAAGAATTACGATGATGGAAAAGCCAACCATTGCGGAGCCGTGTGTGCAAAGGGCTAAGCGTCCGGAATAAACTAGCTGTTCCGCAGTCAACGGCTTAAAGGGGCCAAGTGGCTGCTGCTGAGGCTGTTGTTGTCCGGGTTGAGGCTGTTGCTGTTGTCCGGCTAGAGGCTGTTGCTGTTGTCCGGGTTGAGTCGCTCCTGGAGGTTGTTGAGGCTGCTGTTGTCCAGCCTGAGGCGGCTGCTGCGGTTGCTGCTGGGGCTGTTGTCCAGCTCCCGCCGGTTGTTGGCCCTGTTGTTGCGGCGCGTTCTGAGGTGGCTGTTGTGGTTGTTGTCCAGCCGAAGCCGGCTCTTGTGCTTGTTGACGCTGAGCTCGTTCTCTCTCTTGTAAAAACGTCTCTTCCTCTCCTACCGGTATTTCCTCCGTGACACCGTATGCAGACAGGAAGACTGCGCGTCGTCCATCCTCACGTTCAGATGTTTGCACAAAGGCAGTTGGGGCACCGGTTGGTGGAGCAGCGCCGGTTGCTGGAGCAGGTGCATTAGCTCCACCTGCTGGAGCAGGCCCGTTCGTCCCAGCTGCAACGGGAGCAGCCGCTTTCCCTCCGCCAGCAGCAGGCCCTTTCGTCCCAGCTGCAACGGGAGCAGCCGCTTTCCCTCCACCTCCCGCAGCGCCTTTTCCAGGAGGTGGCGCCGTTTTACCTCCGCCCTTAGGAGTTGCCTTCGCGCTTGCACAAGATGCAGAAAAGCCGCCACCACCTTGTGCACCAGAACCTTCATCCGCAGCAGCTCCTAAAGCTGTTCCCCCTAAAGCTGTTGTTCCACCACCTCCCCTTTCGTTTAATATTCCCTTTCGTTTCAGCCTCGCCTCTTCTTGCAACATTGCTTGTGTCTCTTTTGTCGGCAGTGCTATTTGGAGACATTCCTTGTACACGCTCGATCCTTTGCCCAAGGGCGTCAAGAAACTAATCTCGTAGAGGAAAACGATGAGCAAGAAAACGTTGACCAGCATCATATGGATCCGCATAGACCTTCGCCATCCGATCTGCGATCGGTCAATACAGCACTCGAAAAAGACGTATTTAATCGCGTCGACAGCCGCTAAGACACACTCTCCGATGAAAACCCACAACCCAAGCTCAGAGGAGTCTGCTTCGGTAATCGTACCTTGATGTCCACCAAAATTTTCCTCATCTGCGACTCGCTTGCGATTAGGTGACGGAGCAGGTGCTCTGGTGCGAGCATCGGAGGCTGCAGCCTTCATTTTTTGCGAAACTGTGTTGAATAGAATAGACAGAAAATATTAGTCGTGGAAGAGGGTATTACTAGTAGTAAAATGCGTGATAAAATCAATTGACGATGCTGGAGCCAGAATCACGATAAAGAAATGCAGTTGCATCGAGTTCGAGTAGAATCATTGTCCAGTAGTCTAGTAAAGGATGATGGTAAAACCAATCGCACAAGGGGAAATGAAGAAAAACGTGATATTTATAAAAAGGATTTTTTTTGCATTTACATGTATGGGGAAGTGCATGGGGGCATCCTGGAATATTTGAATTTTTAGGTTAGGTTAGGTTAGGTTAGGTGTGGGCCTGCCACAAAAATTTTTGTAAGATTGTCACGTCCACCAAAACTGAGAGATAACTTGCCTTCTTTTCATCTGCTTTCATGCAATAGGAAAATGTATAACCAGATCCACGTGATGATGCACGCTGCATGCAGTAACAGAAAATGATCCGTTTGAGTGTTCTTCGTACAGAGTCACGTTTTCGACTCAAGACAGACAATTTTTCGTACTCCAGGGGACGCTGCAGTATGTCATTATACACCAGAATCAGTTGGGCAATCTTAAGCCTCGTGAGGCTCTCACACGGAATCTTCCACAGACACAATCTATTAAGAGCTTTTCTCTCTCACAGACGCAACATTTCATAACCGAATCTTTTTCTTTCAAGGATCCTCCAACGGATCCAACCTTTGCAATCTGCGGTCTTGTTGCTCTGACCTTTTATGTTTTCTATGATCGGCGTTCATCTTCTCTAGCATAGGCAGGTTTTAAGCTCAGCAACTACTACTATCAATCTCTATTTTGATCGATGTGCGTCGATTTGATGTCATGACATCGTATGGTCATCGTCCTGCTAGTACGTGATGAATACTTATATTTGATAATTAAGCACGTCCATTTTCACGAAAATTAAGCTCTTTGTCTCATCGTTAAAATAAATAAAGTCGTGTCACTGTTATGTCTTTGAGTCGGAAAAGCCGATTTTCGCATGACGACGTAACTAAGTGAGTTCATTATCAAAACTATTCATTTCTGTTCATCATAATTTCAATCTGTAAGTATGTTGAGGATAGGTTATCTTATGGATCCTGCACATCGGGCCCCACCGGCACCTGTTGTAGGCAAAACTCCTACATTGAAATTAACTAGCTCATAGTTCGGATATGCGTATAAAATTTGGCTTCGGCTCGCTATGAAAAGTATACTGTTGGTGATGATATACCCAGCATCTTTTCTATTGAGAAGCATGTTTAAGAACATCATCTATGTATTCTATTCAAAAAAGCATGGCTGATTAGGGGACTTGTTACATAGTCTAGATTCCTCGAACTTTGGGATCAACAATTTCATGTGCAAACGCTTCCTACTGCTAGTACCTGTATTCAAAGTACTTCTGTGCAAAAACTAGTACCTAACAAATGTCTTATCATGTTCTTCCCTACTTGAATGATAAGTTTAGCTCTCCCGCACGATTCTCTGCCCTATTTAATAGTGTTGGTTCTCCCCAACATGTTCTAGTTCTTCCCCACGAACATGATCTACGTGTCCCCCAAGATCTAGTTCTCCCCCAACATATTCTAGTTCTCCCCCGAACCCAAAAGTGAAGGTTGCATTCCGGAATAACGTGCCCACTCGTCCTTGAGCTGGAATACAATCACGTCTGTCGCTTGGAGACCATTTTTAGGGTCTGGTGCAACCAATCCCCTAGTTGTCCAAGGTAACGAGTTTGATTTGCGGGATTAGAGATGTGGAAAGAGTCGATTGAGGAAAGAATCGATTGAGTAGTGGGTCAAAGGAGATAGAGAAAGAGAGTGCGAGGTGGAAAAGGAAGAAGTACTTGAACATTCTAGGAGTTGTAAAATCATTCCGTTGATGTTATCTGCTCCTGCTTTCTCAAAAAATCAAACAAAACTTCTAAGACAATCAATATTATTCCCCGGCAAACATCAAAGGTCATAAACAAAAGGACAATCGTATCGATATGCAGGTCGACATTCGTGAGCCCTCGCCACCAAAGGACAGTGTTTCGGCGTCTCCATTTTTTCAGTCTCGATTGCGTGGCAGCCAGGGATTAGAAGGACCTACGAGGAGAACTAGAAAAAGACGAATGTGAACACGAAAGATCTTCGAGGGAACTTGTAGAAGAGCAAAAACACAAGCACTACTATGAATGTATCCCCATAAATGTATCTTCGGTGCAAAAGCTTCCAGTTCTGGTTCTTGGTTCAGGAACGTTGCCCAAAAACTAAAACTGCTAGGTGCACGAAACACTCTACGAGCAAACACCATCAACAAAAAGTCCGGTAGCCAAGGTGCGATGAATTTGCGATCTAGAGCGAGTTTCTCGGGTGTACAGGACTCTGGCTGTTTTGTGCTAGAAGTAGTGGGAGTTGTGTCCTCACTCTCTGCATCTTGATTTCGCGACTCCCGCTCGTCCTCCAAGATACAGCCTGATTTGAATGCCATTTTAAATTCGTCATCCCACCACATTTTCGTTCGAAAATCTGCATCGTCAGATACCCAGATCACATCTTTCTCCGGATCCAAACCTTCCGCTCTCATAGCTTCGTGATAGTTCTCGATGGGCACATTGACTTGGATCAAACTGTTCTCGAATTTCCGCACATGTTAGAGGAGGTCTCGAACTTTTCACAAGTAGAAAAAGGCTTCTTATTCTTTTTCAACTATTTAGAAAAACGCACTTCTTTTTCACCATTTAAATTAGAAAAAGAAGAACCTCAACATCCAAGGATCATTTTTATGATAAGTAGACATAGTTACAACTAAGGAGACATCTTCATTCTTTAGCGCTTTATTGTTAGCCTTAGACATGATTTAGCGGTAGTAGTATTCTTTAGAGACATCTTTTCATTCTTTAGCGCTTTAGCGGTAGTAGTAGCCTTAAACATGAGCCACATTCAGGGTACCGCGACGCTCCTCTAGCCACTTGTAAATCGGGGAGTTTGTCACCAATTTGGAAAATCTGTACAGATTCTTTTTCAGTGCTAAAGGATCGTGAAAGCTGGAATGATCTGCGATATACATCTCCTGGTTCACGTTGTACAAGTAAAAGTGTGGAAAGCGTGTTGTGGAGGCAGATTTGCTGTACTGTGGAGGCAGAGTTGTATTCTTCGTCAGTGCAACATTATCCTGTCGCAGCAACAGTCCGCTTCGAACTTCCTCCAGAGTGGTATTGACGACCCTTTCGTCCAACTGCTCAGCGGAGGATAGTAACCTCGAAGCTTCTTCTCCCCTCGAAGCTTCTTCTCCCACTCCAGGCGAAGAAGAAAAGAACCTTCCTCCCGGTTGGTCTACTAGAGAAGATGCCAAACCCTGCTCCCCTGCAGATGCAGCTTGATGAGCTTTCTGTGAAAATACTTCTGAAGATGAAGGACTCTGCGCTTTCTGTGAAAATACTTCTGAAGATGAAGGACTCTGAAATTTCATCTGTTGAAGCAGTCCCTCTCTGATTGCACTCCGCAGATGTTCGACGTTAAGAGAGACACCATTTTCAGGAGGATCCTCGTGTCCTTCCTTTAAAGAATCTTCGTGTCCTTCCTTCACGTGATCCTCAAAGTAGAGAAAATTTTGAGACCCTAGAGCTTCCATGTCCACGTCCAGATAGCTGTGTTTCTTCCACTGTCCATATGGCCAGGAAGTAGGATCTGCCTCTACTAGCAGGTCCTCCTCTCGATGATCCGCGTCGCAAGAAGATGATGTAGACGTTGAAGTAGATGTACCATTGCTGGGACTAATAATTGATTTCGTAATACCACTGCTAGAAGTTGTGCACTTTTCTTCAAGTTCGGCACCACCATTGCTAGTGGTACTTGCTGCAAAGCGATGCTGGGCTGCGTCTCCTTCTAGCAATTTTTTCCCGACAGTCGTGGTTGCTCCGTTTATCCCCAAAGTAGTAGTAGTAGTAGTGCCATTCTGAGTGCCATTCATCTTGTTGCTACTCCCACTTTCACCCTCCGCCTTCTTCCGCTCCGTGAATGCTTGATGCGCTTTCATCCGCTTCTGCATCATTTGCCAGTACAGGATGCTCTGATACGACGATGCGGACACCGTTCCGCAGACTCGCAAATCACGCAAAACCATACGAGTGTTCATGTAGGATGCTGGTAACCGTTCGTAGAAGCCCATAGGTTGATTCACTCTCGGATAGTAACCGGAAGCGCGTTTACGCCATCCTGGTTCGTCTCCGGAGGAGATGTTTCTTGTTAGAGGAAGAATGGGTGGAGGGTTATTAGTACATTTCTTTCTGAGACTTCAGAAGTGGAGGTGGTTGTTTATATCTATCAATCTACAATCCTGGTTGTTTATCTATTTTTACTATACTGTAGTTTATCGACGATAATTGCAATCGCACTTATAGGTCGATGCCATAAGAATCTCAAGTCTTTGGTTCTAACCAAGAGAGGGTCCGGTAGCTTCTGTATATCCCATACTGCTGGCCCAGCAAGGGTCTTGTTGTCAGTTGTTGGTCTTTCCGCTCCTTCCGACGGTTCCGACATCGATCCCAGCTGATTTTTGACCTCCCTTTCAGCAAAATAGGCATCGAAAACTTTTTGTTTAGTTCGCCAGTCCCCTGCCCCAGCACGCATCATCATCTCTGTGAGTCTCGTAGGCATCCGCCGTAAATCGCAGTAGCTGTTGTCGAGGTCGAAGACTATGCTGGATTCCAGTTTTTGAGGCATATAAACCGGAACGCTGTTCTTCGGCAGATTTTGGGGTTAGAAGACGCCAACCAGCTTCGGTTGTTTTGTTACAGGTAGAAATTTGCTGAGCCTAGTCCTCTTTTTTTCGCCGATTATTACTTTTAGACAGTCGGATTAAGCAGGCTTCAATTTAATAATACGTGTACATCAACTTCTGCACTTAAGCAGGCTTCAATTTAATAATACGTGTACATCAACTTCTGCACAACCGTCATAAGAGTAATCCAAATCAGCAAAACGATGCTTCCTGTTAGAAGATTCCTTATTGCTTCCCCCGTTGTCCGATCCATCCACAGTTGAGTATAATCTCGCATATTCGCAGAGCCACGAAAGTGTGAACAAATTGTTGCCCAATTGGCCACCCCATTGATCTAAGAATAAGCCATGGCCAGTTTCGCGGCACCACTTATGGTCTCGACTCGAGCATTCGTACTGGGAGTCCTCGTTTGGGTTAGAAGACATGAGGATTCATCTAGAAGCTGTAACTGATCAATTTAAAAAAAGACGCTGACGATCTTTTTAGACTACACAACCACTACTAGTTCTGGTCGTAGATGAAGTAGTGTGGTCATCGGACTAGATGGAAAGTCATAGATACATCCTCTTTACTAGTTAGGAGAACAGTACAGTAATCAGACCTTTTGATTCAAAAGTCGCCTCAAGAATGTTGTGGGCTACGAAGTCACTACTTAATTCTGGTTCACTAATTCTGGTTCTTGAACTATTATAGGGAGCTGCTACAGTAATCAAGTGAGTCCGACCTTCATTCAACACAAGCCTTCGATAAACTGAAGTAAGCAAGTAACTGATCAGAATAACCGAGATACTGACGAGAAGGAAGAGTAGCCTTGATGTTATGAGCTAGTACCTCCCTTATTTCAGTCAGACAGTAACTCGGTGTTTATTAATTGTTGCTTGTTGAGAACATCAACAAACAAAAATAAACAAACAAAACAGTATAATCAAGTCAATCCGACCTTCATTCACCATTTCGTAACCATACTCCTGATCAATTCCCAGGTTTGATCCGTCGCAGCAGAGTCAAACTCCTTCATGGAAAATTCGTCCCGTTCTATCAATTGGCGTTCTTTTGCAGTCTTATAGGACACCCCACGAATGTAAGTCGCGTCTGTACCTGCGATAGGTTTCTTTTCTGGTTTTTCTGGAGGAGGAACAGGAAGACTTGATGATTGTGATGATCCTGAAGCTCCTTCAAGAGCAGAACTCGCGTTATTGTTGTTCTCGGCTTCAGCTTGCCTCGTACGTTCTTGATAATCCTCCAACTCCTTCAGCCTATCCCCAGGTGACTTTTTTCCGCAGATTTCTGGTCTCTTCTTCGACATCCCAGGTTCGGAGAGCCAAGCATGGAAGCGCGACTGCTGACCTGGCATTAGACCTTCGTGAGGCCAACAAGATTCGATCCAAGCAAGCTTCGTACCGGGAATTGAGTCGGGGATTAGATTCATCAATATTCATAGTCAGGCGAACGATACCAATCTGAACAACATCATTTTCTCAGTATTCAAACTTACTGTTAGCAAAAGGACGTCCAGAATCCTGCGAAGAACTTCAAGCAAAAAGCCTCCAAAAATTCTCGTTCATAACCACAAATAGTCTGCCGCTGTGACTATCCACGTATCTCGATTCAGAAAGGGATGGTCGACAGT